CCTCATTTTGTTTATAACAATAGGCCTCATTGTTACAAAATTATTTTTGTGTTTATTTTTAAGCATCTTCTTATACAAAAATGTATAAAAAAATGTTTTTTTTCAATAAATTTTTTGTTCGTACCTCTAGGGTTTTTTTTATGCCAATTTCCTGTACCTGAAAGAGTTAAATAGGACGACATCTTGTAGGTACTACGGTTTTTGAGATATGAGCCTTGAAAGAGGAACCTTTTTGCGACTTTTTGTGTGGAGAGTATACGAAAAACTGATGTTTATCAGTCAAAATATTGACAGATCGACATATTTCAAGTCACTAACAAATGTCAACATAGGCTAAGGCCGGGACCGCACTGGCGCTAACATTGACCCCAGTGCGGTCCCGGCCTTAACCTATGTTGAGATTAATTTGTGAGTGACGTAAAACATGTAAACCTTTCAAAATTTTGACTGATAAACACCAGTAACACCAGTATCATGTATACTCTCCACACAAAAAGTCGCAAAAAAGTTCTTCTTTCAAGGCTCATATCTCAAAGACCGTAGTACCTACAAGATTTCGTCCCATTTAAAGGTTGTTCAGAATTAAATCCACTACAACATATCAAAAAATGGGCAAAATCCATAGAGCCCAAAAATCCCATGTTAGGTGTGCGTTATCCTTTATTAACAAATTGCAAAAATCGAAAAAACCTATGATGATTTTCAAAAAGTTAGAAAATAACAAAAATTACAAGAATCAGGAATTACAATTACAAAAATTATAAAGACCAGGAAATTAAAAATTTCAAAAAACGTCCAAGAAATTTAAAAAATTACGACAATTGAATTGAAAATTACGAAAACTATCAAAGTTACGAGAATTATAAAAAATTACAGGGATTACGAAAAAGTTACGGGAATTACGAGAATTAGAAATCACAAAGGCTTTCGGGAAATGATTTTGAAAAATGCCCAGAAAAAATACGGAAATTACGGGAATTACCTACTAATTTTTGAAATATACAAAAACGTGGAATTATAAAAATAACGGAATTTTCTGAGAAACTACGGGAATTAAAAAATTACGAAAATTTGAAGAACAACAGGAATTAATAAAAAAATTATAAGAATTATTTGAGAAATGACAGGAATTGAAAAATTTCTAAAGAAAAATTACGAGTCTTCGAAAATTACAAAATTTGCTACAATGAGCTCTTCATTTTCTTCTTTTTCTGGAAAATTTTTACAATTTTCTTGCCAGTTTTCCGGTTCTAAGAGGGTGAATTTTGCCTAAAAAAGTCAATTTCCCAGAATTTTTCCTGGAGTGATTTTTGACTGGAAATTTTTTCTATAATGTGCTCCTCACTTTTCTCTTACTTCTGGAAACATTTCATAATTTTCCCTTTGCCAGATTTCTAGAAAAAAATTAAAATGTAAGAGGATGAATTCTCCTTAATTTTGCTGAAAAGTAAGTTTTTCAAAATTTTTCCTGGATTAATTTTTTACTGAAAAATTTTGAAATTTTCGTAAAATGAGCTTCTCATTTTCCTCTTATTCCTGGAAAATTTTCAAAATTTTCTCTTTGCAAGTTTTCTAGAAAAAAATTAAAATGTAAGAGGGTGATTTTTTTTTAATTGCTTAAATAAGTCAATTTTTTAGAACATATTTGAAATTTCAGTCGTAAAAAAAAAAGAATCACCCTTTGTCGTTTGAACATGATATTTAAGAACACCCTGTATAATACGCAGTTAATTAATTTATATGTTTGAGACTCCAATGATTTTTTAAGAGCCGATATTTCAATGTCACCTAGTCACCTTAAGATATAGAATAAACATAGACATTGACAACATTGTCTGACCTTGTTCGATGACGTCATCCTAAATGTAATATAAGATAAAAACCGTATATTTTAAGGTAAGTCTTGATTTTAACAATAATAATTGCGAACGTGCTCTATGAATTAATCAACGAGAAAAACTTTTTTCTAAATTATGACGTCATCGTCAAGTAAGTACAAAAATTGCAAAAAAATACATAAAATAATTTGGTTGCACTAATTTTTTATATAAGTGTTAGGTAGTGCTATGGTGGGATGCCGAATAGGAGTGCTAATTTTTGCTTTAGGGGTGCTTAGCACCCCCAAGCATTCCCCTAGTTGCGCCAATGGTGATAAATTTACCTGCACCTGTGGACATCGGATTGTGAACAGGATATAATTATTTATACCACTTTTGAAAATGGTGAATTCACAATTCAACATTTAAATAAAAATACCTAATAAAAAATTTAAGGAGTGTTTTTTGAACGACTTTTGGGTCGAAATTTGGGTTAGTTTGGGTTACTCAAAAAAAAATTTAGCCTTCGGCGGGGGGCTTGTGATGGGCCAGCAGAAATTTTGGCACACAGGCCCGGAGCTGGGTTGATACGCCACTGCTGTAAACAATACCGATAAAGAAGTAAATTAAAACCTAAAAAATTATGTGCTGAGTTTTTGATTTTGTGTATTCAGAGCGTGTATTAGGGCCTTGTTGAATTTAGTAACATTTTCCTACCCTGACGAGAGAATATCCTAACAAATTGAAATAATTAATCTAGAGATATTAGCTCAAAAACAACTATAGCTGAGTAGCTTCCCGTATGGGACCTCAGTACCTGCTGGGAAACTGGCTAACTAACCAAAAACTCTTCAGTGTTGAATATAGGTAGTGTTGATTGAATGTAGTGTGTATAATTGAAATTTTAGCACAAGAACAGGGGCTATAATTTAAACTTTCATTGACTTAAATTATTGAATTGATAACTCACAATTATTTGTAGTTGAATGACACAGTATGTTTCGATTTTTGAGGAATGTTAGGGTTTCTCTGCCGTGCTCTTTCGCCTCGTTAGTTTCAGGATGAGAATGGTATGATTTACTTTAATAATAAAGTAGATGTTTCACAAATTTTTCGTTTCTTTGACATATCACAACTTCCCTTAAATTTCCCAAATATTTGCTATGTCAGGCGTATGTCCAAGTAAAATTAAGTAGGTTTCCACAATGTAGGTTCTATTTGTTTTTCATTTAGTTTTTCAGAAGATTTGTTGTTTAAAGGTAATAAAAATTCTCATCATTCAATCTTACTGAACGAACCCGGGTATGTTATACTACATCTCTAATTTGAATTTCGGGAAAATAGATCAGTAACTGGAAACTTGCTAGATTTTGTGGCATATTCCCCAGACGTTCTAACTGATGGTAACCAAATTGATGCGGTCTATACGGATTTTGCGAGGACTTTTGATAAAATAAACCACAACATTCTAGTTCAAAAACTTACATTCTTTTCAATCTCATCATAGGCTTGTCAGCAGATAAAATCATATCTCTCAAATGGGAACCAATTTGTCTCTGTGAAAAATTACCGATCAAACACTTACACAGTCACTTAGGGTGTCCCACAAGGTTCCGCCTTAGGGCCTCTCTTATTTCTAAATGATATTACAAGTACCCTAAAATCCTGTAAAATTGTTTTGTTTGCTGACGATATTAACTACCACTAAAGACCTAGAATAATGCTATTAAATTATAATGAACATCAAAATATTTTAGACATATTTGAAGACTCACTCATGAAATTCAAAAGAAAAACTGAAGACCTGTTTTTAGGAAATGATAACAAAAACACAACTGTTAAAAGAGTTCATCCACCTGTATTTCTTGTTTCAATAAATAAACTATCCCTTATTTTTGTAGCTTTCATAATTTCTTAAGCATTCCAATTTGTATGTTGAAACGTTACGTAAAAATCTGGTCATCTAAAATTATAGTAGTTTAATATTTTTACCCAAGCACACTCGATTAGAGAACAGCAAGTCCAAAACCCATCTAGTATTATTCTACATGTAGATACCTATTTATGAAATTTAAAAACAGATCTATATTTGTATCACTATTCACCAGAGTGTCTGGTGAAAAAATATTTATCCATAAAGTTTATAATCATCAAGTGTAACACAGTCATGATACTTGAATCGAGATTTAACGAAATATACAAGAAATTGTTATCACAAGAATCTACACTACAGAGTATCCGAAAATGAATATACCAAGATTTGTTCAACGATTCTTAACAAAAAAAATAGGTGACCTATATTTTTTATTTTTGGTAAAAAGCCCTCCTTCGGCGTGACAGCCCCTTGGATTTCGCCTCTAGAAATAGTATTTTTTGTATGTCTCAGAGTCTCAGAGCCCTGTTGTACGAGAATTACATGTTTGGTACGCACATGAGTTTTATGACATGAAGAATTGGATGGTGCTACTCTTTTAGGCGGAGGACACCATTGAGACACTTTTTTGTGGGCCCCGGTATTTGGAGCCTCAAGTCAAAACTTTGGTTGGGTAATTGAATATTAATTAATACGAACAATTTTCTGCCTTTTTTATTTTTTAGGTGTTCCATCCCCCGCTTCGACAACGGTAGCAGATTTGGTACCGAAACGTCAGCAAAAAATCCAGAACTCATACCACCGAGCCTAATCAAGTATTATTTTATTGAAATAATAAAACTCGATTCCTTTATAAAAAGTCGATTCGAGTAATTTATTTTATAAAAATAATCTGATAGGTAAAATTGCTCTAATCAGAGAGCTTGTAGTAATTCGTATCAAAGTCAAGAAACTTCTGGTATTAATTTCAATTGAGGTGTAAGTCCCAAAAAATGCAAGGTAATATTAGTAATTGAATATTTTAAAAAAATTTATTAAGTTAGAAGCTCCATTCAATTTAGAAATCTTTTTGACTCTTGAAATGTTTTCGGTAAACGCATTGTGTTTTAAAAAATGACAAAATGTGATCGAATACATATCAAGATTTGTATGAATTTCTACTTGTTATTCGTAGGTTGGTGTTTGCAATGAACAAACAAATTCAAAATTCAAACCTAATTGAAAACAATGTGCTAAATGAAAAAACGGATTCAAGTTAATTAACCGAATTATAGAAAATATGACTAATAAGTTTGTGTGCCTTATCTTACATTCATTATTGGACATCTCTAGTTTCCCAACTTGAGCAAGTAAATGGAAATTTTGTTGATGGGAAACCTGAGCAAAATTTTATTTTTCATTATCAGATGACATTATTTAAATAATTTGTATCACCAAAAACACCTGGATAACAAAATTATCTGTAGATGTCTCTTGGTTTTTAAAATCAGTTTAAAATCACACACTTTTTATCCAAGATATTGACTAATTGAAAGAACCTTATATAATAGTCTAGTTGTTTGGATATATACTAGGCGTTTATAAAAATGGCTGGGCTTAGAATACGCTTATTCTCATACTCCAAAGGAATGTGAGCTGGTGGCTCCCTACATTAGAACGCCAATGGTTACCTGACATCACACCTGCTTTTGCCATATGAAACACCCCCTCGCTCCTCATACGGAAACTGTCAGATTAAAAACGACGGACTTTTTTTTTACATAATATATATAAATAGTTAAATCAATTCGTTTTTAACCAGTTCCTGTTATAAAAATAAGTTTTAAATTGTTTACCTATATCAAAATCATAGATCTAAGATATCTAAGAGAATGGGAGAAAATCAAGCAACTAGATCTTTACTTAAAAAAATAAATATATATTTATAACAGAAAAAAAAATCACATTGTTACATACCTTTGGAATTCATTACATAAAAGATTCTACACATGCCCACAACTCATAAAAGAAAAACAAAACAAAAGGTATATTCAATATTCATGCAAGGTCTGTTCCTACAATAGGAAAGAAAAAAGCCAATCAGATAATCAGATCCTTGAAAAACAAGTTTCTCATTGATTTTCACAAACTAAAACCAATCAGCTTGCATACTATGGATCCGTTTTACAAGACTTTTTAGTGAAATTTATTTGTGTAACTTTGCATTTTCTGTTTGGGTATAGTTGTTGGCAAAAACGGTAGTTGTAAATAAATGGGTTGTTCATTGAATAATCTGTAAAATGAACAGTTTGCGAGTTTTGTGCTTGAATTTTCCTAAAATCTGTTACAATAAAATTACAAATGTAGATGATGGTCAGCTCTCAGAATAGTTATTTATTATCTGTATTAATATTTTGCATACAGATGTTCAATTTGTACAAAAGTTTTTAGACAATTTTTTGTTTAAAAATAGTAAAAATAAGGCAGAAATAAGGAAGGTCTAATTGAGGCTGATCCTCTCTTTATTAGAGATGTTCTTTTTCGAAATCGAAACTGCGCATGCTTAACTGTCAAAACAAGGCAATATTTCTCTAATAAAACTAATTTTATTCCCTATAATTTAAATTTGTTTCCAATTAATTACGTCTTGTAAAACGACTCATACTATTTTGGAATAATTATGATTCATGCAAAAACAAGATTACTATAAATTATACCTGTGAAGATGGATTATTGTGGGTTCTGGTATACAATACTGGAGCTATGTTATTGTGGGCATTGTCGAGCAAAATATTCTTTGAACCGGTTTGCAGGCGTAGCGAAGCGTAACGTGGGCCCTTGGGGGTATCTTGTTGGTCGTTCGAGGGGGTTTCTTGAAGCCTGGAAAAGAAAAATAGAATTTAGAAAATTGGAAAATTTGTATTTTGTTTGTTTTACAAAATTTCACAATTTAATGCCAATAAAAATAGAAGACATTTTATTAAATCTGTTCAGAACAGATTTAATAAAAATTTAATATTTGAAAATAATCTAGACAATCTCTTTTTTCTTACATTATATTTCTAAATATTCCAAAAAATTTAACTAGAAATGAGAAGAAGCATGGAATGGTACATGATAGTCTAGGAAAATTGTCGATTTTCAAAAAAAAAAATCCTACCCAAAAGAACTTTTCAGGGATGATAGGGGGAGGGTGGGTGATCATAAAACCGAAAATATCAAACATTCACCCCTCTGGCGTTTTGCGTTATAGGGGTTGAAAGTGCGCCATTGGCGATTTCTTGGTACCTATTGATTTTACAAAAAAATGTTTCAAATAAAAGATGTGCAACATTATTTGATCTACAATGTTTATCAAAAGACTTTTTTGATTTAGGGCCGTCTGTGGTCATAAGGGCCGTTTGAAATTTTATAATGAAAATGAAAAATTTTAACCAACGTGAAAACATTTTCTATAATTCATACAACATTTTTGCTTTATGAAGTTTTTACTCACCCCCTGCCGTTTTTCAAAAGGGGTAGTTTTAAGTTTTTTTATTTTTTTACAAAAAAAAATTCTCAATAAAAGTTTTATAAGATAACATTTCCTACAATTTGAAACGGTGTCTTTTAGTCACTCGACGTGTTGTCCAACTCGGCTTTGCCTCGTTGGACAATTTTCACGTCGCGTGCCTAAAAGACGCTCATTTCGTAACTTATTGTATAAATAGCTATTATGGCACTAAAACTCTGCTAAAGTGACGACCGAAGTGACAGAACCGATTCTGTCTTTCAACACTAATAATCTGCCCACCTGCAGGCTATCAGTGTCACTCACCTAAGATACCTCTGACCATTTGCCACCTGAATTCACCTTAAAGGTGGCACCAGTAGGGCTCGAAGTTTAATCATAACATAATCACTACAACTCGGCCGTCCTGACAAAACAGAACGCCCTCGTTCTAAGAATAACATAATAAAATCTAAATTATATAAATAGCACATAAACCCCTTAAGGTACCTAAATATCCAAATTTCTAATATAAGGATAACATAAAAGAGTAAATCTATATACATAACATACATAAATAAAAAGTCAGAGAAAACTATCTAGCCTAATTTACAATATCTAATGAGTACCGCAATCAGTACATACACAAATGTTTAAACTCAAAAAATTACATTTTTTTTTTTAAATAAAATGAGTGAAATATTAATTAAATTACTGATTGAACATTTTCATGATTCATGATCAGAATGATCAGATTCACAAACATTTTTGTCTAGTTCGGGATTAATAATAGAGTCAAATTTATCAGGAAAATTAGCCCATAACTTCAAATGGTCAGCATCAAAAATACCTTCAAATAGTCTTTGAGTGATTTGGAACCCATCGACATCAGCTATGATATACCGATCATTTGGCAAACACTTCTTTATTATATAAGGGCCTTTATACTTTGGAAGTAATTTTTTGTTCACTCCTGGAGTAACATCCACATTAGGAATCATAACAAAATTACCTATTTCATAAGATTTTGCTAATTTGTGTTTTTTGTCATAATAGTTTTTATTATAGATTTGATTTTTTTCAATATTACTGGCGGCTTTGTCACGAGACTCGTTTAAGCTACAAGAATATTCTTCACCATAAATAAAAGAAAGAAATTGTTTTACATTGTCTTGAACAAGTCCTTTTTGAGGAATACCAAAAAGTAACTTGGCTGGTGTTTCACCAGTGGAACGATTAATAGTATTATTGATAGCAAATTCAACATCAGTCAAAATATTATCCCATTTATCTGGGGCTTCGGTCAGCTTTGCCATCATAGGAATTATAACGCGGTTGAACCGTTCGATTTGCCCATTCGCACGTGGCACGCCAGTGGCTATCAGTGTATGAGCAATTTCACATTTTGTCAAAAATTCTGTGAAAATCCTTGATGTAAAAGCACTGCCACTATAGTCCAACAAATACCATTTTAAAGTCACGTGATTTTTCTCTATCCTTGTTGAATACATCTCAAACAGCGGTGATAGCAAAATTGACAAAAAAATTGGTGTCTAATTATTGTTCATAATATTCTTACCTGAAATAGAATCCGTCACTGTCATCAATTAGTTTGTCAAAGAAATTTTGGAAAATGATACAACGAACAAACACAGCTAATAATTTTGACTATATTAACCTTTTTCCAACTCGAAAAGAAGCAAATAGAAATCGGGTACCCAATTCAAGTTCAGAATGTATTACAATGGACAGCAGATGCGACAAAAGTGAGTCTCACAACAATTGCAAGTATTAAAATTCCCATCTGATTGGTCGATACTACTTCAGAAACGCGTTTGTAAAATGCTATTGGGAACATATCTTAAAATTCAATAGTAATTAACCACTAGTAGCTTTTTGTAGGTGATATCAACGACATAATCAATGGACATACGTTTTTTGCCACCAATATCACGTGACTTTAAAATGGTATTTGTCGGACTATATCTGAGATTATTTTCCCAAGTTTACTAAAATTTGCAAAATATTGCCTAAGATGTTTAATAACTTTCTCAGAATTAGTAGTTTTACATGGATAGATTTTAATGAACTTGGTGAAAGCATCTACTGCTAACAAAGAGAAATTTATTTTTTCGACATTTTGTTTTTTCTAATGGGCCACAGTCCACAGTGATCTATATGTAATGTGAGAAAAGGTCTATTTCCTTTGGGAATATTGTGTAAAAAACCCTCATGCTTACCACTACTGGGCGAATAAATAATGCACTTCAAACAATTCTTTATATACTCTTCAATCTTGGTACGCATATTCGGAAACCAATAAGTTTGTTTTATAGCATTTAAACATTTATCAAGGCCTACATGACCTAAGTAATCATGACAACTTTGAATGACATTTTGTTCCATACTAGATGGTACATAAAAAAGTAAATGTCCTCTATCTTTCTTATAAACAAGGCCGTTGTCAACTTCAAAATCTTTACTTTGTGTATTTTCTAACAAATCTCTTAATTTTATTAATTTCGATGTCTTGACACTGTCTAATACTGAGATTGATTTCGAAAGGGGTTTCTTCTAAAACCAATACATTCTGAAAACACCTACTTAACGCATCTGCATGTCGCATAGAGGTACCACTTCGGTGTTCCAGCGAATAATCATAATTTTCCAAATATAAACTCCATCTCATAATTTTAGGATTAATATCCTTTTTTTTCAAGGCCAAAGTCACACTGTTGCAATCTGTATAAATTTTAAATTTTATGCCCTGTAAATATACATGAAATCTCTTTACACTATTTATAATTGCTGACAATAATTCTAAAATAAAACTATGCTGTTTTGCCTCAACTTCAGTAGTCCTTTGACTAAAATAAAAAATGGGGTGAAATTTGAAATCATCTTGTTTTTGCAATAATATCCCAGAGTATCCGTGAGAGCTTGCATCACAATGCAGCTGAGTTTCAGCTTTGGGTGAGTATAAAGCGAGAACTGGTTTAGATGTTAGTATCCCTTTCAATTTATTGAAACTCTCTATTTGCTCAGGACCGAAACAAAATGTACTATCTTTTTTCATTAATTTATAGAGTGGAGCGGCTATAATAGAAAAATCCTTAACAAATTTTCTGAAGTATGAAGTCAAACCTAAAAAACTATGAACCTGCTTAATAGTTTTTGGCATTGGATAATTTTCTATTGCTTTTAAATGCTCATTGCTTGTACTGATACCGGACTCATTAATTACATAACCTAAATGCTTTGTTTGAGTAAACAAAAAAGTACATTTGTCCAATCTCAAAGTTAATTTGTTTTTTACCATTAATTCAAAAACTTCCCTAAGAATACTCAAATTTTCTTGGATAGTGCTTGTCGCTATAAGGATATCATCAATATAAATTAACAGTTTGTCAGAATCAATAAGGTCTTTGAAAATTGTGTAAATATATCTCATAAACACAGAAGGATAATTCTTCAAACCAAAGGGCATTTTTAAAAATTCATATTGTGCTGATGCACAGCCCCCTACATTTAACAAGCCATGAAGTTAAAAAGGCAACACCGCAATCTTACCGCCAAGTGGTGCTGGTGGTGTTTGTTTGTATAAATATATATTTTTTATTTTATTAATATGAATCACAAAAAATACATAATTTATTGTACTAAAGGGCCAAAAACAGTAATTCAATGAATAATTTAACTATTTGTGTAAATAAGAACAGTAAATAATTGATTTAAATGAATATATTTCTAGAGTCTAAAGTGTTATAGGCCTATGTTTCAGTATGTCTTTTGAAAATCTAACTTTTTCTTTCTTCTGGATTTTTTCGGAAGGCAAGTCCATTCAAATACTTGAGCTGATTTTCGAAAATAAGAGGTACCTACTTTTAAGAGTTGGACGCTTTAGTTTGAACTCTCGAACTACGCCTTTATCCTTGTTTGTTTCAAATCTAATTATTTCGGTTTCTTCAAAATGTTTACAACACACCACAGAATTTTTCGTTATTGTATAATCTCGGGTATAATTATCTTGGTGTATTGCTTTCATCCACATTTTTTGCACTTCAGAATTTTTTTGGAAATAAAAATGTTTGCATTTCTTCAGTTTTTAAGGAACTCCTAATAGTTCGATTTGCACCCAGGAACACAGTAGTTTCATGGCATCTGGAACAAGTTTAAATATCTTAGGTAATATATCGAGACCTATGCTCTTGCAGACAAATATTAATATTGTTTTTATTGTTTTACCTTACCTTACCGAGCTAATCAGTGGACTGTATTTTTAAAAAGTTATCAAAAATCGATAAATGGCAAAACCAATAAAGGACTTACCCCGAAACTGCGTGGGTTTTATGCACTAAAATAGGTATTTGGTTCTGGTTTGATTGCCGGC